CCACCTTTCTTGACATACAAAGCTCTGATAAGCTAGCATTTCAAATGTTTGGAAAGGTCCCTCTCCGAGCAACTTATATATACGATTTGATACGGTTGCTTTCATTTGATAATTTTGAACAATCAGGTCATTGAGAAATCTAAAACGAAGATTGTCAGCCTACAGGAACCCGTTGGCTGCTGATTTACCGTTTATCAATGTAGTTTTATTTACAATGCATGTCTCGTTTATATTAGTAAAAGACGAATTAAATTAATAAGCCGTAACAAGGAGAAGACAAAAGGTAAAAGGCAAAGCTAATCCTTAGAATACAGTGAGGGATAGACCCAGTGTTGGAATGCTATTACATCATCACTTGTATAAAAATGGGAAGGAAATGGGAAAAAACAACTTCACATGTCAATCAAGACATTGCAATAACATTTCTATAACAATGAAACTGTCCATGATCTTCATTACCCACAACTGTCAGTGGACCGTCGCATTTCCACAGCTGGACGAGTCTACTTCGAGATTACAGGTTGGAAGATAAGATTTCTATCACAGATGACGCTGCCAAACGGACACGTGGTTTGGACAACAACGGTATGGAACCGGTTATTTATATATATATATAACAAAGGTAATCCTTGTCCAAAACGACAATACAGATTGTTTAATAGGTCCACATATCCAGCAGTAATTTGCTCAACACTTCCGTATTCCGCCTGGTGCGGCATTTTGAACCCCAAACTTTTTTTTCGGAATTGGTCGAGATATTATTATGAAATGATCATTTTTTATAATGTAAATTTTGAGCGAGAAAAGTTGTCAATTTTGTAAAATGTGGGGTTCATATACCGGTACCGTTCACCACATATATAAGCAGCAAATATGCTACAGCTTACAAATATAAGTTCACATTCAGATTATCTCGCCTCATACTAAAATTATTTAATGTTTTTAAAGACTTGGATACTTCAACAGTGCAAAGTCGGCGATATCGGGCTGATCACGTGGTATCAGACCAGGTAAACAGGTAAGGGTCAGAGCAACACCAGGTAATCACGACACGGGACCGATACCATATACAGACATGGGAATCAGGTAGCAGTTATGAAGTAAATCAAACGTCTCACCAAACACTTCCTTTGTTAACATAACATATGGAATAATCTACACAATAAAATAGGAATTGCAACTATGACGTCACTAACTGGGTTAATAAAATATGTACAAATGGCTAAAGCAGGTAAGCTAGATGTATTACATTTTCTGGATATACAAAATGTGTAAATACAATCCATTCAATTACCTGGGTAAAGAAAATAGTAAGTGACAAAAAGTATTAAGTCACCTGGGTAAATGAAACATACTGCAAAATCCAGGTACCTCGGTAAATAAAACAATACTACAAAGCTGTCAATGGTAGATAGATAGATAGATCGGTTGATTACTTGATTACTTGATTGATAACTTGACAACTTGATTGATTGATTGATTGAGATTGATCGATTGATTGATAGATTGATTGATTGGTAAATAAGAGAAGTATCACAAACATATATTTTATTTTACCTGGGTAAATAAATCAGTACAGTGCATCACTTTTACCAGGCTATCATTTTTGTTTCTATGACGTCATTAGACCATAGAGAGGTCGTTTACCAATTCAAAGATGTTTCAACTCTGTAACACTGTTTTATAATAGAAGCATACATTGCATATGTGGCAGTCAAAGCACGGCGCTTTGAAACTGACCACTACAGCACAAGACGGAGGCATATGATTTTGGGATAAAATGCCTTAAAACAATTATAAAGTTAAACGAAATGATATCAAGACACAAGGAAAAGTTACTCAGAAATACCAATGTATACCTTAAATTATTCGTAATCGAAGGAAAATCTACAACATCGCAAGTTGGTGCTGTTGCAATAGAGTGCTCGGATGCGGTATAGCATATGTAAACAATCAAGGTAGACAAATTTAGGATCACAAGAGAAAAAAACTAGCGGGAAAAAATTGAGGAATGACAGACCATATACATGTATGTATGGTGTATATGCTATGTCGCTATGCATTTTGAGTAACAATCTTATTTAATTAGTGTGAATGTGATGGTGTCATTTATCACACAAAAAATATTACACGTGTAAAATCGTGAAACAACTCTATTTTATCTATAGGTTCATCTACTTCATTTTGAGTGTGCTTACCTTTAGTGTTAAAACATGGACAGTGATTTTGTGTATATAGAAGATTATCAATTTAGTTACAAAGAATTCTGCATAAGAGAAACGGTGAGTACAGAGGTGCATTATCACATTCGGATTCGAGCTCAGCGAGTGATACCAGTAATAAAGAACGGATGCCACTGGGCCCCCATACCAAGCTGTGACAAAAATGGTAAGTATGGGGGCCTCACAGTGCCACATGCATTCAATAGTGTGACGAGGCATAACTAGTTTTCTAGGCCCTCTATATTAAAACACAAGTAAGGGCAATTGATAGGAAAGGAAAATATGTGACATTTAAGTACATCATTCAGACGGCATGCACTTTTAATAATGAAAAAAGAACAGACTTTTTACATGTGTTTATGATGTTCAGAATATAATATATATTCTAAGACTATCAATATTATTTTGTGTTTGATCAAGACAATTTTAAATATCAATGATGTAAAATATATATCAGTATTCTCGATGGTATGTGTCCTCACAGGTAGTGCTGTCAACACGATTTCGATGTTTAGTAAAAGAATGAAGGGGACATTTTATAAAGTGTATCGAACTAAGTTTGAAAATTTACAACACCCAACCAACCCTCCCCAAAATCATATCCTTACCCGATCTTATTGGATCAATTTAACTTAACTATAAACATCTTAGAATCCCAATTCATATTACATTCCGATATCATCCCATCTCTTTAAACAACGAAACTTATTTATATTATTCCAATTCAATCTTATCCAATTACATTTGTCTAATATATTAGAGTTATCTCCCCTCGCTATCTATATATGCAGCCTGGAATGGCGCGGGTTTGGAAGTTTAAAACTATTACCCTACACATCAATTTTACCCACGTTCCTTCATGTTGCATATGTAATAAAGAATCGCCATCATTTCTTCCACTGCAATGCGTTGTCCATCCCGACCACCGAAGAACGACCCACCAACATTTTGTATTGGTAAGCAACATCCGATTAGATATTTTGCACGTTTTTTTCGGGACATAAAAAAAGTAAGAACGAAATATTCAGTGCAGATACAGCACATATATAGCAGAAGCACAATTTAGTAAAACTATATAGCAGAAATGCACACGGGCCATGTAGTGAAACTATAGCAATTAACAGAACTATACAGGACATGTGGCAAAACTGTTTCTATAATATATATGCGGTCAACATTGTCAAAATTAAAATGTATAACGTCTTTTGCACACTTGTTTATACCGGTCTTTTGCTTACCTAATCTGTTATCAGATATGTTAAAAGAATAACTTCGCTGTACATGGCCAGAGACATTTCATAATTAAGATAATAGTACACGGAATCTTAAATAAAAAATAATATGGTCGCATATCACAGGCAGGGTAAATGTTTTACCTTGTTGAATGATGGGTCAGTGTTAGAGATTGGTTGTATGATGGGTCAGTGTTAGAGATCGGTTGTATGATGGGTCAGTGTTAGAGATTGGTTGTTTGATGGGTCAGTGTTAGAGATTGGTTGTATGGTGGGGTAGTGTTAGAGATTGATTGTATGATGGGTCAGTGTTAGAGATCGGTTGTATGATGGGTCAGTGTTAGAGATTGGTTGAATGATGGGTCAGTGTTAGAGATTGGTTGTTTGATGGGTCGGTGTTAGAGATCGGTTGTATGATGGGTCAGTGTTAGAGATTGATTGTAGGATGGGTCAGTGTTAGAGATTGGTCGTATGATGGGTCAGTGTTAGAGATTGGTTGTATGGTGGGGTAGTGTTAGAGATTGATTGTCTGATGGGTCAGTGTTAGAGATCGGTTGTATGATGGGTGAGTGTTAGAGATTGGTTGTTTGATGGGTCAGTGTTAGAGATTGGTTGTACGATGGGTCAGTGTTAGAGATCGGTTGTATGATGGTTCAGTGTTAGAGATTGGTTGTTTGATGGGTCAGTGTTAGTGATTGGTTGTATGATGATGGGTCAGTGTTAGAGATTGGTTGTATTATGGGTCAGTGTTAGAGATTGGTTGTATGATGTGTCAGTGTTAGAGATCGGTTGTATGATGGGTGAGTGTTAGAGATTGGTTGTTTGATGGGTCAGTGTTAGAGATTGGTTGTATGGTGGGGTAGTGTTAGAGATTGATTGTCTGATGGGTCAGTGTTAGAGATCGGTTGTATGATTGGTCAGTGTTAGAGATCGGTTGTATGGTGGGGTAGTGGTAGAGATTGGTTGTATGATGATGGGTCAGTGTTAGAGATTGGTTGTATTATGGGTCAGTGTTAGAGATTGGTTGTATGATGTGTCAGTGTTAGAGATCGGTTGTATGATGGGTTAGTGTTAGAGATTGGTGGTATGATGGGTCAGTGTTAGAGATTGGTTGTTTGATTGGCCAGTGTTAGAGATTGGTTGTATGATGGGGTAGTGTCAGAGATTGGTTGTATGATGATGGGGCAGTGTTAGAGATTGGTTGTTTGATTGGTCAGTGTTAGAGATTGGTTGTATGATGGGGTAGTGTTAGAGATTGGTTGTATGATGATGGGTCAGTGTTAGAGATTGGTTGTTTGATTGGTCAGTGTTAGAGATTGGTTGTATGATGGGGTAGTGTTAGAGATTGGTTGTATGATGATGGGTCAGTGTGTATGATGGGGTAGTGTTAGAGATTGTGTTAGAGGTTGGTTGTATGATGGGTCAGTGTTAGAGATTGGTTGTTTGGTTGGTCAGGGTTAGAGATTGGTTGTATGATGGGGTAGTGTCAGAGATTGGTTGTATGATGATGGGGCAGTGTTAGAGATTGGTTGTTTGATTGGTCAGTGTTAGAGATTGGTTGTATGATGGGGTAATGTTAGAGATTGGTTGTATGATGATGGGTCAGTGTTAGAGATTGGTTGTTTGGTTGGTCAGTGTTAGAGATTGGTTGTATGATGGGGTAGTGTTAGAGATTGGTTGTTTGATGGGTCAGTGTAAGAGATTGGTTGTTTGATGGGTCAGTGTTAGATGTTGGTTAACCTATGCTAATGATAGTGTGGAATGTGGATATTCGAAAATTGGTAAGACAGACATGTTTTATATTAAAGTCATTGGATAAAATCGTGACACACATTTGCATAAGTTTGAGCTTTAAACGTTTAAGACGTTTAAATTTTGCATTCAAATTCAGTAAACATTAATTACATATTATATTTATATCTATGTACAAGTGCATTTGGTGGTGCATATATTGGTATGAGTATATATACAGACAGGAAGTGATGTCATAACGTGACGTGTCTCCACGACTCAAATCAAAACTCTAGTCATCTCGTCCACAGACAAAGCTTACACACTTATTCTCGATAACAAATGGTCAATATCGCGATTTCGAGTTAGCGAATACGGATAATTTTACATTTGTTGAGGTGAAATACAAATTTCATATTTTTCATTTGGCAATTAATACAAAAGAGCGACTAGATAATGCTTATCTCGATCTGTTATATATCGTACAGATATTTCAATTTTGATTTCAATCGTGGAAAACTTCTTTCCATCACTTAGAACATTCATATGAACAAGACATCTCACAGTTCCTGAGTAAAACCCTATCACTTGCACACTTGATAAATTTGCATAATCAAAAATGTCTTAATTACAGTCAACATTCTGTGGTTCAAATTGAGCATGTTTACAAAGTTGCAAAGACATCACCTACATGGAACGCCACACGTCCGTAACCACGACAACGACGTCAACACGCACTATCAACGTGGCACGTCACCATGAGCAAAGCACACGATCGCCTAGGTCAAGGTTCAAATAAAAAAATCAAGGAATTTAATAAATTAAAGTATACCGTTTTACACAAAATGTGAAATAACTTCATAAACTGACAGCTTTATATATATAACTATAAGGACAAATGTAGCAGGCACGTGACGAATTTGTAATTAAAGGCCCAGGAGACTAGCGCAAAGTAGGCTGATGAGGCCATTTATTATAACGCTGAAATAGAGAACAATTTCGTCACACCTTCAAGAAATCGAGGTAAGTTAACAGCGTTTGGACATTAACAAACTCTATCTCTAGTATTCATCGGAAGCCCCCAAGCATACAGCTAGTATGCGCAGCACTTCGAAGCCGCCGAACGGAGCCAAGAGGTAGCTGTCGAATAGACCCTGCCCGCAGTACTTATGTCCCGAGCCCCAGAGCATATATGCGTGACAGTTTCTTTGTAATATGAAGACCGAATACACGATACCATGCATGTTTTTGTAATGTCCGGGGCCAAAGAATTGCCTCCGCCTGTGGTACCGTGCTTTGTCTGTCCGAAGCCGTATTCGCGGTAAGTGTCGGTCCTGCCTGTACGCTGCCGGCCCGACGTCTCGTGCCTGACCTGTCAGGGTTCGTATCAGCCTCGGACAGCCAATATCGTGTTTCAGCTCGAACCAATACAAAGAAATACCCAGTGGACATTAGTGTTGGCATGGACAATGGTCACTCGACTCGGCACTACGTCAAACACGCCAAATTTACCAGCCAATCGTTAAAAAAGAAAATTGATAGAACGCACTGCTCCCTCTAGCGGGACTTCTTGAGCACGTGTACCGAATAGAACGCCAGGGTAAGCATTATGATGTGCACGCCACATAACACTTTTGTTTCGAGAGATACTGTTTTACCATATTGCAATGCATTTCAACTGCAGTAACTTAAACAAAAATATTGTCCGCTAAACATACGCATTATTTCGTACGGATTAGCGATTCGCACATTTCGGTTAATACGGTTTTCAATTTTTCTAAAGTGAGCTCCTTTCTTACTCCCCTTAAAATATCCAGTTGTAATTTGTAAATATTTTGAATAAAAATAAAAGCTCGACTGAGTCCCCACGCTGAGCGCTACATTGGGTCGGGACGCCGCGTACTAGCTCCACTATGACAGTCAATATATTGATTCCTTCTGTGGCTGTCTGCCACTCGTCCTTCTATTTCCAGAAGAAGACAAATGCAACAGACTTTCAGAAATTGACCCAAGAGTGTACCGAGGAAGCCGTTCGCGTACGACGGTCTAAATTACCAAAACTTGCAGTCACAAAATTATCGGAGTCTGCACACAGCTCTATTGATATAGAGAAAGATTAACTTCAAGGCGCTCCCATATTTCCCTGTCGCGGCCGTGGTGATGTCAAAGTCTCGCGAGACCTTAGGATCTGTGTTGTAATGGACCCGGCCTCCTGCGATAATGCCTTTAGCTCTCACAGATGGAGAACAGACTAAGTTTTAGAGACGTACTCGTAATGCATAGCTTCAAGTCTGAAGAAACTATTATTTCTCATAATAAAAGCTGGGCTATATATATTGTTCCTATAATGATGGTTTGGCACAACGTCAAAGACGCCGAACAGCCAATCGCTACATTCCGACATATAAAAACGCACTGCCTAGCATTTTCTGGCATTCTAGTAATGTTTTCGTAGTAATTCTGGCACATTGTTTATATTCGTTTTGTTAGGCCTATCCGATGTATACAAACACGGCAAACTCATTAATATTATCACCACATGGGGTCGAACGTTACACACTAGGAGTTTGTAGATACACTAACACCCAACGTCCTATGATTTAAATGGTGCACTACGCCAAGCTGACATTTCCTAACCGACGCATCAAGCCAAGCGACACGTCCTTGTCGACGCACCGCTGACCGTGTCAAGCCCTCAGCCAACATAGCCTAGCTGGCAAAGCGCACCCAGTTAACTTATCCTATCTTGCGAGGCGCGTTCGATCCCTACCTTAAGTGGCGTCCCAACCACAACTACATATTTGTTTTTAACAGAATTATGTTAGTGCACTGCATGCCCTCTGTGGGTGATGCAGGTATGTATAAGTTTCATCAAAAGTCTTCAATTGTTTTAAAATCTACATTTCATACAAGGCTTCACTAACACTCACCGCGACCTAATTGTAATATAATTAACACCTGGCATGGCATACTGCTTGGGGTGATGCAGGTATACTTCAGTTTAAGACAAATTATTGTATCAGAATACAACGCCCCCTTTCCTTCGAGATATCTGCGGCAATATAGATAGCTATCGATATTTACACTTGAAGTAGAATTAACTAAACCGAATAAATGAAATAAGTAATAACTGAACAGTTAGTCAATTGTATGGTACTACCTGCCCACGATCTATCTAATGTCGTGTTCAAATCAATTAGTACACTTATAATTACACTTTTGTTTTGCGCGTAAGAATACATCCACGAGCGCACAAAGCGTACGAGAATATGTATACGTCCGCACAGCTAAACAGTGTTTTCTATGACAGAATAACATACTCGTGTAATGTCGCTTTGGTTATTTTACCACCATATCTTTTTTTACATACATTATTATATTTAGGAAAAAAATGCTTCCCGTAAACTTAAGCTGAACAACGACAGAAAAGTTGACGCCGAGGACGGAACAATGACGTCACGTTACCATAATGTAAAATGGCGTTAAAATTTTCGGAAACTATTCGTACTCCAAGTTGCCATTTTGAAAAGTGCAAAAGAAAGTTGCCATTTTGATCAGTTGATAACAACCGATGAGTTCAGACAAAAGAAGTTCCGGTTACTTACTAAGGCTGCTTAAGTCAACTTCATCAAGGATCTAATACAGGACTTAACCATGGTCGCGAATCAATGTCAATGAATAACTTCACCACTTTAACTGTTGTGCAGGACGTGTGACGAACCAGGGCGTAAATTATAAAGTGTTAAGAGAAGTACATGTTGAAACAAGTACGCTACCTCTGAGGGTCGGCCTAGCACTAGTACCGTATCACAATCATTGGTCTTTTCTTAGTACGGTACCAAGACCATTGGTCCCGCCCGAGTACCGTCACACGATCATTGGTCTTTCCCTAGTACGGTACTGAGACCATTGGTCCAGTCTTAGTACAGTACTAAGACCATTGGTCCAGACTTAGTAGGGCACTAAGACCATTGGTCCAGTACTTGTTCGGTTCCACGATCATTGGTCCAGTCTGTCATGGTTTCTCTATGAAGGCGCTCTTGAGCGACGATTGAAAACAGTGTATTGATTTTCTCGCTATCCCGCTAAGCCATGTCAATTTGTTAACGTCACTTTGGGGCTATGGCCTCATGTGATCCACTACGCGATTTAGAATTTAGCGAGGTTTTATTACACGTCAAATATTTGCCCTCCAATTTTTTCTTGATGTTGATCACAATTTCTTGGTTATAAAGACCGAAATATGAAGGAATTGTTTTTAAAATTTCACTTACTGAAATGTAACATTTACGGTAATCAAATGTTTACCTGTTGATGGATTAACACTAGAGTACAACTTGCACCGTATCAATACAGCTAGAAATGTAACATTGTGCTGAAGAAGAAACTACCTCCTACTGCATGCTTAACAAGACAAACAATCTACCCTCTCTCTCACTCGTCAAATTCTACTGTGAAAATGTGTTTGATAGAAAAAAAATCCACATGCAAAAATTTGAAAAAAAATGTTCCAGCTGATTCATCTTCTGTTTTTGAACAGGTAACACTTTCAAGGTAGACATGCCTTTCCGTAGTAAACAGTACTTTCTGGAATAGTGAATACTTTCAATAGCAGATATTACTTTCCACAACTTTCACCCCTCATGATCACTTCATTTAGTCGTATTTTCTTCATTTTTCGTTTTGCAAGAAGTTTGTTTTTCGTTGTTTTAACTTATGAGTACAGAATGCTTCATTTCGATATTACAGTGTCATAAAAAACTTTATAGAAATTAATAAAAATTACTTTGATTTTGTTTGATAGTACATGTCAATATTTTAAAACAAAAGTTAGGACTATGTAATGACAGAAAAGCAAGCAGTAACAAGTTTCTGTAATAGCGATCGTATTAACAGTGGGATATTTGAGCATTCTGGCTTATGACATATTTATATGTTAAAACAGGTCCATGTATTTCATTCAAATTTGATATCAATAAAAAAACATTCTGTACGATTACATAATATTTTGGCAAGATCCACCATTATTTTAATTGCAAATGAACTAACGTTTTCGGAAGCATTCTTTCAGGCCAATATTTACTTATAGTGTTTAGCGTACCCTACGTCGGGGACTGCTTAGTCTCGAGGACAGAAGACACTTTGGTCAGGAACAGTTTGCTGGTGTTCGGAGATTCGTGTGGCGTGTAGGGGTCGGCAGGTTTCAAGTTTTTACTCCTTTCACGCTCTGCATTTCTGTCGTTGAAATTGCTAAACTTCGTTGCAACGATCGCAATAGGCATAGATAAAATTAACACACCACATATTGCGCATGCGGAACCTACTAGATGGCCAGGTGTAGATTTTGGGTAAATGTCACCGTATCCAACAGTTGTCATAGTAACAACAGCCCACCAAATTCCTATGAATATGTGGGGAAAAGTGGTGGGTTCCTCGAACTCGGCGAAATAGATGAAACTTGCAAAGAACACAGAGGCCATGAGGAAGGTGATGAGGAGCAGTCCTAGTTCCTTTAGGCTGGCCACGAGGGACACCGTGAGGATGCGCAGAGCACTGTATTGCTTCACCAGGCGCAGCAACCGGAACAACCGTAGGATCATCATCGACTTCAGAACGAGGTAAAACATTCCAAGATGGCGATTTGCGTATACAATATCACTGTGGAATTCAAAGGTGAACACCATCCACATACAAACGAAAAGAATACCATCCAAACAATTCAAACCGCTCTTGAAAAACTCATTTTTCACAGGACAAAGAAAGAAATGGATCAAAAATTCGATTGAAAAGAAAATGAGAACAAACCATCCCCCGACTTCCAGAGCAAACGTCGGATGAGTTGTAAGGAGGAGGAGCTCCTTTGGGTTTTCTGGGTTAAGAAAGCCATAATCAGTCGCGTTGCTTGGCACGAAAGTCGTATCCAAGAAATCCGGGTGTGTGCCACAGCAGAACAGTACCCCGGATAACACAACGATCCCCAGATAAAAATAGCTGAACACCTGCAAAATAGTAAATAATCAAGTTAATATCGCATTTGTACAAACAGGGTTTTGGTTAGAAAGTCATACCACATCAAACCGATTTGTTATCCCTTAACCACAGGCACTTGAGTTAAGCTATTGATAAAGCAAAATAAAATAAAAATATAGTTCAAAAAGGACCGTCCTGGAGCCTACATCAACGTGTATATAGAGGCCGATCACGTCCTGGAGCCTACATCAACGTGTATATAGAGGTCGATCAGGTTCTGGAGCCTACATCAACGTGTATATAGAGGCCGATCACGTCCTGGAGCCTACATCAACGTGTATATAGAGGCCAATCACGTAAATGAGATATTTACGAAATATCCTTCTACGTTGGTGATACTTGATGGAACCCCCTTTTTTAAATACATCGACACAAAATAAGTTTTAAATACACAAATATATCTATTTCTTACACTTGTACGTTGACTAATTGACTTTCAAGTTGCTTTCCCCAAAATTAATGTAGATGGAGGATAAACGCTACTGCTAATGCTTTTGATACCGTTTAAAAGACAAACTGTATCTTGAGTTGTCAATAGAAACCATAAATTGTATACAGACCGATAGTGATCGTAGTGACCACAGAAACCATCTTGGATACCAAATATAATGCATAAACTTTATCGTGGATTGTTTTACACATTGGATAGTTGCGTCAAGTTGGCTCAACATACGACTTACGACATTCAGATTTTGAATGATGAGCGGCTCGGCATACGAGATTAAAAATCTGAATGATGAGCGGCTCGACAAACGACATTCAAAATCTGAATGATGAGCGGCTCGACAAACGACATTTAAAATCTGAATGATGAGCGATCTGAATGTCGTATCTTGAGTCAACTTCACGCAACTCCTTCGGATTCATATACTAGCATGGAATTGATTAATAAGACAATAAAAGGGTAAAAGCGTAAAATCTAAATGGCGATAAAATTCTTCAGAGTATGCCGCACAACATTCAAGCATTCAAATGTTTTGACATATTTATGAAACCGAAATGGGAGGCGGGGGAGGGGAGGCTAAACAGTGGTTACTACTGGAGGCGGGGGAGGGGAGGCTAAACAGTGGTCACTACTGGAGGCGGGAGGGGAGGCTAAACAGTGGTTACTACTGGAGGCGGGGAGGGAAGGCTAAAAAGTGGTCACTACTGGAGGCGGGAGGGGGGCAACTAAACAGTGGTCACTACTGGAGGCGGGGGGGGGGCAACTAAACAGGGGTCACTACTGGAGGCGGGAGGGGAGGGACTAAACAGTGGTCACTACTGGAGGCGGGGGGGGAGCAACTAAACAGTGGTCACTACGGGAGGCGGGAGGGGAGGCTAAACAGTGGTTACTACGGGAGGCGGGGGAGGGGAGGCTAAACAGTGGTCACGACTGGAGGCGGGAGGGGAGGCGAAACAGTTGTTACAACTGGAGGCGGGAGGGGAGTCTAAACAGTGGTCACTACTGGAGGCGGGGGGGGAGCAACTAAACAGTGGTCACTACGGGAGGCGGGAGGGGAGGCTAAACAGTGGGCACTACTGGAGGCGGGAGGGGAGCAACTAAACAGTGGTCACTACTGGAGGGGGGAGGGGAGTCTAAACAGTGGTTACTACTGGAGGCGGGAGGGGGGGCTAAACAGTGGTTACTACTGGAGGCGGGGAGTGGAGGCTAAACATTGGCTACTACTGGAGGCGGGGCGGGAAGGCTAAACATTGGCCACTACTGGAGGCGGGGAGGGAAGGCTAAACAGTGGTTTCTACTGGAGGCGGGGAGGGGATGCTAAACATTGGCTACTACTGGAGGCGGGGAGGGAAGGCTAAACAGTGGTTTCTACTGGAGGCGGGGAGGGGATGCTAAACATTGGCTACTACTGGAGGCGGGGAGGGAAGGCTAAAAAGTGGTCACTACTGGAGGCGGGAGGGGAGCAACTAAACAGTGGTTACTACTGGAGGCTGGGAGGGGAGGCTAAACATTGGTTACTACTGGAGGCGGGGAGGGAAGGCTAAACAGTGGTTTCTACTGGAGGCGGGGAGGGGATGCTAAACATTGGCTACTACTGGAGGCGGGGCGGGAAGGCTAAACATTGGCCACTACTGGAGGCGGGGAGGGAAGGCTAAACAGTGGTGACGACTGGAGGCGGGGAGGGGAGGCTAAACAGTTGTTCCAACTGGAGGCGGGAGGGGAGGCTAAAAAGTTGTTACAACTGGAGGCGGGAGGGGAGTCTAAACAGTGGTCACTACTGGAGGCGGGGAGGGAAGGCTAAACAGTGGTTACTTATGGAGGCGGGGAGGGGAGGCTAAACAGTGGTCACTACTTGAGGCGGGAGGGGAGGCGAAACAGTGGTTACTACTTGAGGCGGGGAGGGGAGGCTAAACAGTGGTTACTACGGGAGGGGGGGGAGGGGAGGCTAAACAGTGGCTACTACTGGAGGCGGGGAGGGAAGGCTAAACATTGGCTACTACTGGAGGCGGGGCGGGAAGGCTAAACATTGGCCACTACTGGAGGCGGGGAGGGAAGGCTAAACAGTGGTCACTACAGGAGGCGGGAGGGGAGGCTAAACAGTGGCTACTACTGGAGGCGGGGAGGGAAGGCTAAATAGTGGTTACTACTGGAGGCGGGGAGGGGGGGCTAAACAGTGGTTACTACTGGAGGCGAGGAGGGGAGGCTAAACATTGGCTACTAGTGGAGGCGGGAGGGGAGGCTAAACAGTGGCTACTAGTGGAGGCGGGGAGGGGTGGCTAAACAGTGGTCACTACTGGAGGCGGGGAGGGAAGGCTAAAAAGTGGTCACTACTGGAGGCGGGAGGGGAGCAACTAAACAGTGGTTACTACTGGAGGCTGGGAGGGGAGGCTAAACATTGGTTACTACTGGAGGCGGGGAGGGAAGGCTAAACAGTGGTCACTACAGGAGGCGGGAGGGGAGGCTAAACAGTGGTCACTACGGGAGGGGGGAGGGGAGGCGAAACAGTGGTTACTACTTGAGGCGGGGGGGGGGTGCTAAACAGTGGTTACTACTGGAGGCGAGGAGGGGAGGCTAAACATTGGCTACTAGTGGAGGCGGGAGGGGAGGCTAAACAGTTGTTACAGCTGGAGGCGGGAGGGGAGGCTAAACAGGGGTCACTACTGGAGGCGGGAGGGGAGGCGAAACAGTTGTTACAACTGGAGGCGGGAGGGGAGTCTAAACAGTGGTCACTACTGGAGGCGGGAGGGGAGCAACTAAACAGTGGTCACTACTGGAGGGGGGAGGGGAGTCTAAACAGTGGTTACTACTGGAGGCGGGAGGGGGGGCTAAACAGTGGTCACTACTGGAGGCGGGCGGGGAGGCTAAACAGTGGTCACTACTGGAGGCGGGAGGGGAGCAACTAAACAGTGGTCACTACTGGAGGCGGGAGGGGAGGCTAAACAGTGGTCACTACTGGAGGCGGGAGGGGAGGCGAAACAGTGGTTACTACTTGAGGCGGGGAGGGGATGCTAAACAGTGGTTACTACTGGAGGCGGGAGGGGAAGCTAAACATTGGTTACTACTGAAGGCGGGGAGGGGAGGCTAAACAGTGGTCACTACTGGAGGCGGAGAGGGGAGGCTAAACAGTGGTTACTACTTGAGGCGGGGAGGCTAAACAGTGGTTACTACTGGAGGCGGGAGGGGAGGCTAAACAGTGGTCACTACTGGAGGCGGGAGGGGGGGCTAAACAGTGGTTACTACTTGAGGCGGGGAGGCTAACCAGTGGTTACTACTGGAGGCGGGAGGGGAGGCGAAACAGTGGTTACTACTTGAGGCGGGGAGGCTAACCAGTGGTTACTACTGGAGGCGGGCGGGGAGCAACTAAACAGCGGTTACTACTGGAGGCGGGGGGGGAAGGCTAAACAGTGGTTACTGCTGGAGGCGGGAGGGGGGGCTAAACAGTGGTCACTACTGGAGGCGGGAGGGGAGGCTCAACAGTGGTTACTACTGGAGGCGGGAGAGGAGGCTAAACAGTGGTTACTACTGAAGGCGAGGAGGGGAGGCTAAACAGTGGTTACTACTGGAGGCGGGGAGGGAAGCAACTAAACAGTGGTTACTACTGGAGGCGGGAGGGGAGCAACTAAACAGTGGTTACTACTGGAGGCGGGAGGGGAGCAACTAAACAGTGGTTACTACTGGAGGCGGGGAGGGGAGGCTAAACAGTGGTTACTACTGAAGGCGAGGAGGGGAGGCTAAACAGTGGTTACTGCTGGAGGCGGGAGGGGAGGCTAAACAGTGGCTACTACTGGAGGCGGGAGGGGAGGCTAAACATTGGTTACTAGTGGAGGCGGGGAGGGGAGGCTAAACAGTGGTTACTACTGGAGGCGGGGAGGGGAGGCTAAACAGTGGTTACTACTGGAGGTGGGGAGGGGAGCAACTAAACAGTGATTACTTTATTTGTTTTAGGAAACTCCGCAACCATTCATAATGTAGGTAGCCAAGGGACGTATATCACCTAGCAGTACTTTCTCGCCAACTTGTAACGCTATGTCTATGTACTAGTTTGTACACAAATAAATGAAATATTTATCCAAGCTTACAACCCACTGATTATTCTTTTTCCACAACATCCAAAATGATATAACCTGGACCCTTCTGTATTGATATACTGACATCGAAGGTCCGATCATGCAAGCACGATTATGTAAATAATTTATATCTTGATTCAAGACAGCCAAAACAGACGAGACGTTCTTTTATCAGAATGACATGCAAACAGGCCATACAGCGCATTTATTAATGTTTACGAGGATGCCCACACTCCTCCAATAATGTCCCTGGTGATCTTTCATTGTCCCTGGCGAACTGTTAGTGCATTTCACGAGAAATAACTTCTCAAAGTAATTCTATTTACAGGAAACTACAAGGATCATCACTGATTGCTCGGTCTAATCAGCAGTAATTTGACAGAGAGCACGCCCATTTCGTTTGGAATGGTGCCACCTAATTTGTAGACCTCGGCTATATCTTTATACCCATGCAAAC